TATATGATTGTGTATATGATTGTACTTTATTAATCCCTAATCTCTGCCATGACATGAAACAAGAAAAGGTAAAAAATAAAAAAAAAACAGAGCACTGTAATACAATACGCTATTGGACATTATTGTTAAAAATAAATAAAAAGTCAATCCTATGTGTTAGTGAATGTTTTTATATTTTAGGCAGGAAATTCGTTTTCAAATGTAGATTTTTTTTTCTGGGGGGGGGGGGGACCCCCAGACCCCCTGGAATGTTTGGTCCCCCCCCCCCCAATGTTGACTCTGAACATCGGTGACAAAGAGCTTCACAGCGTGTCTCTCTGTCTCCCCGTGTCTCTCTGTCTCCCCGTGTCTCTCTGTCTCCCCGTGTCTCTCTGTCTCCCCGTGTCTCTCTGTCTCCCCGTGTCTCTCTGTTTCCCTGTCTCCCTATCTCCCCGTGTCTCCCTGTCTCCCCGTGTCTCCCCGTGTCTCTCTGTCTCCCCGTGTCTCTCTGTCTCCCCGTGTCTCTCTGTCTCCCCGTGTCTCTCTGTCTCCCCGTGTCTCTCTGTCTCCCCGTGTCTCTCTGTCTCCCCGTGTCTCTCTGTCTCCCCGTGTCTCTCTGTCTCCCTGTCTCCCCGTGTCTCCCTGTCTCCCCGTGTCTCCCCGTGTCTCTCTGTCTCCCCGTGTCTCCCTGTCTCCCCGTGTCTCTCTGTCTCCCCGTGTCTCTCTGTCTGTCTCCCTGTGTCTCTCTGTCTCCCTGTGTCTCTCTGTCTCCCCGTGTCTCTCTGTCTGTCTCCCTGTGTCTCCCCGTGTCTCCCTGTGTCTCCCCGTGTCTCCCCGTGTCTCCCTGTCTCCCCGTGTCTCTCTGTCTGTCTCCCTGTGTCTCCCCGTGTCTCTCTGTCTCCCCGTGTCTCCCTGTGTCTCCCCGTGTCTCTCTGTCTCCCCGTGTCTCTCTGTGTGTCTCCCTGTGTCTCCCCGTGTCTCTCTGTCTCCCTGTGTCTCCCCGTGTCTCTCTGTCTCCCCGTGTCTCTCTGTCTCCCCGTGTCTCTCTGTCTCCCTGTTTCCCCGTGTCTCTCTGTCTCCCCGTGTCTCTCTGTCTCCCTGTTTCCCCGTGTCTCTCTGTCTCCCCGTGTCTCTCTGTCTGTCTCCCTGTGTCTCCCCGTGTCTCTCTGTCTCCCCGTGTCTCTCTGTCTCCCTGTGTCTCCCTGTGTCTCTCTGTCTCCCTGTGTCTCTCTGTCTCCCTGTGTCTCCCTGTGTCTCTCTGTCTCCCTGTGTCTCTCTGTCTCCCTGTGTCTCCCCGTGTCTCTCCGACTCCCTGTGTCTCTCTGTCTCCCTGTGTCTCCCCGTGTCTCTCTGTCTCCCCGTCTCCCTCGGTCTCCCTGTGTCTCCCCGTGTCTCTCTGTCTCCCCGTCTCTCTCTGTCTCCCTGTGTCTCCCCGTGTCTCTCTGTCTCCCCGTCTCCCTCAGTCTCCCTGTGTCTCCCCGTGTCTCTCTGTCTCCCCGTGTCTCTCTGTCTGTCTCCCTGTGTCTCCCCGTGTCTCCCTGTGTCTCTCTGTCTGTCTCCCTGTGTCTCTCTGTCTCCCTGTGTCTCTCTGTCTCCCCGTGTCTCTCTGTCTGTCTCCCTGTGTCTCCCCGTGTCTCCCTGTGTCTCCCCGTGTCTCCCTGTCTCCCCGTGTCTCTCTGTCTGTCTCCCTGTGTCTCCCCGTGTCTCTCTGTCTCCCCGTGTCTCCCTGTGTCTCTCCGTGTCTCTCTGTCTCCCCGTGTCTCTCTGTCTGTCTCCCTGTGTCTCCCCGTGTCTCTCTGTCTCCCTGTGTCTCCCCGTGTCTCTCTGTCTCCCCGTGTCTCTCTGTCTCCCCGTGTCTCTCTGTCTCCCCGTGTCTCTCTGTCTCCCTGTTTCCCCGTGTCTCTCTGTCTCCCCGTGTCTCTCTGTCTCCCTGTTTCCCCGTGTCTCTCTGTCTCCCCGTGTCTCTCTGTCTGTCTCCCTGTGTCTCCCCGTGTCTCTCTGTCTCCCCGTGTCTCTCTGTCTCCCTGTGTCTCCCTGTGTCTCTCTGTCTCCCTGTGTCTCTCTGTCTCCCTGTGACTCCCTGTGTCTCTCTGTCTCCCCGTGTCTCTCTGTCTCCCCGTCTCCCCGTGTCTCTCTGTCTCCCCGTCTCCCTCTGTCTCCCTGTGTCTCCCCGTGTCTCTCTGTCTCCCTGTGTCTCCCCGTGTCTCTCTGTCTCCCCGTCTCCCTCGGTCTCCCTGTGTCTCCCCGTGTCTCTCTGTCTCCCCGTCTCTCTCTGTCTCCCTGTGTCTCCCCGTGTATCTCTGTCTCCCCGTGTCTCTGTCTCCCTGTGTCTCCCTGTGTCTCTCTGTCTACCTGTGTCTCTCTGTCTCCCTGTGTCTCCCCGTGTCTCTCTGTCTCCCTGTGTCTCTCTGTCTCCCTGTGTCTCCCCGTGTCTCTCTGTCTCCCTGTGTCTCCCCGTGTCTCTCTGTCTCCCCGTCTCCCTCTGTCTCCCTGTGTCTCCCCGTGTCTCTCTGTCTCCCCGTCTCTCTCTGTCTCCCTGTGTCTCCCCGTGTATCTCTGTCTCCCCGTGTCTCTGTCTCCCTGTGTCTCCCCGTGTATCTCTGTCTCCCCGTGTCTCTCTGTCTCCCTGTGTCTCCCCGTGTCTCTCTGTCTCCACGTGTCTCCCTGTCTCTCTCCCCGTGTATCCCTGTGTCTCCCCGTGTCTCTCTGTCTCCCCGTGTCTCTCTGTCTCCCTGTGTCTCTTTGTCTGTCTCCCTGTGTCTCCCCGTGTCTCCCTGTGTCTCCCCGTGTCTCTCTGTCTCCCTGTGTCTCCCCGTGTCTCTCTGTCTCCCCGTGTCTCTCTGTCTCCCCGTGTCTCTCTGTGTCTCTCTGTCTGTCTCCCCGTGTCTCTCTGTGTCTCTCTGTCTCCCCGTGTCTCTCTGTCTCCATGTGTCTCCCCGTGTCTCTCTGTCTCCCTGTGTCTCTCTGTCTGTCTCCCTGTGTCTCCCCGTGTCTCCCTGTGCCTCACCGTGTCTGTCTGTCTCCCCGTGTCTCTCTGTCTCCCTGTGTCTCCCCGTGTCTCTCTGTCTCCCCGTGTCTCTCTGTCTGTCTCCCTGTGTCTCCCCGTGTCTCTCTGTCTCCCCGTGTCTCTCTGTCTCCCTGTGTCTCCCTGTGTCTCTCTGTCTCCCTGTGTCTCTCTGTCTCCCTGTGACTCCCTGTGTCTCTCTGTCTCCCTGTGTCTCTCTGTCTCCCTGTGTCTCCCCGTGTCTCTCTGTCTCCCCGTCTCCCTCTGTCTCCCTGTGTCTCCCCGTGTCTCTCTGTCTCCCTGTGTCTCCCCGTGTCTCTCTGTCTCCCCGTCTCCCTCGGTCTCCCTGTGTCTCCCCGTGTCTCTCTGTCTCCCCGTCTCTCTCTGTCTCCCTGTGTCTCCCCGTGTATCTCTGTCTCCCCGTGTCTCTGTCTCCCTGTGTCTCCCTGTGTCTCTCTGTCTACCTGTGTCTCTCTGTCTCCCTGTGTCTCCCCGTGTCTCTCTGTCTCCCTGTGTCTCTCTGTCTCCCTGTGTCTCCCCGTGTCTCTCTGTCTCCCTGTGTCTCCCCGTGTCTCTCTGTCTCCCCGTCTCTCTCTGTCTCCCTGTGTCTCCCCGTGTATCTCTGTCTCCCCGTGTCTCTGTCTCCCTGTGTCTCCCCGTGTATCTCTGTCTCCCCGTGTCTCTCTGTCTCCCTGTGTCTCCCCGTGTCTCTCTGTCTCCACGTGTCTCCCTGTCTCTCTCCCCGTGTATCCCTGTGTCTCCCCGTGTCTCTCTGTCTCCCCGTGTCTCTCTGTCTCCCTGTGTCTCTTTGTCTGTCTCCCTGTGTCTCCCCGTGTCTCCCTGTGTCTCCCCGTGTCTCTCTGTCTCCCTGTGTCTCCCCGTGTCTCTCTGTCTCCCCGTGTCTCTCTGTCTCCCCGTGTCTCTCTGTGTCTCTCTGTCTGTCTCCCCGTGTCTCTCTGTGTCTCTCTGTCTCCCCGTGTCTCTCTGTCTCCATGTGTCTCCCCGTGTCTCTCTGTCTCCCTGTGTCTCTCTGTCTGTCTCCCTGTGTCTCCCCGTGTCTCCCTGTGCCTCACCGTGTCTGTCTGTCTCCCCGTGTCTCTCTGTCTCCCTGTGTCTCCCCGTGTCTCCCTGTCTCCCCGTGTCTCTCTGTCTCCCTGTGTCTCTCTGTCTCCCCGTGTCTCTCTGTCTCCCTGTGTCTCCCCGTGTCTCTCTGTCTCCCCGTGTCTCTCTGTCTCCATGTGTCTCCCCGTGTCTCCCTGTGCCTCACCGTGTCTGTCTGTCTCCCCGTGTCTCTCTGTTTCCTTGTGTCTCCCCGTGTCTCCCTGTCTCCGTGTCTCCCCGTGTCTCTCTGTCTCACCGTGTCTCTCTGTCTCCCTGTGTCTCCCCGTGTCTCTCTGTCTCCCTGTGTCTCCCTGTCTGTCTCCCTGTGTCTCCCTGTGCCTCACCGTGTCTCTGTCTCCCCGTGTCTCTCTGTTTCCTTGTGTCTCCCCATGTCTCTCTGTCTCCCTGTGTCTCCCCGTGTTTCCCTGTGTCTCTCTGTCTCTTGACGCATCCCATCAGCCCCCAAAGGACTTCTTTATACGGGGGGTGCGGTTCCTCCTCGTGACGTCGGCGCGGTCACGCGCCGCGGTTACGTCACCCGCAATGTACGGGGGAACACCCCGTGACGTCACCATCATCACGCGCCCCGGTGACGTAACCCCCGTCACGCGCGCTAGTGACGTAATCCTTGCACCCCCCCCCCCCCCCCCGTTGCGCAATCCATCATCAATATATTCCGAATGGTCGATAGCTGTTTCCCATTGGCTCCCTGGCCACACGTGATAACCACAACATAAATTAGCATATTATTATCTCGCGACCACATCTTGAGCTCTGGTTGGCGGCTCTGAGTATAAATTAACATAATGATGTTGCATGGAGCCAATCACGACACGAGCTCCGCGAATAAATTAATCATCACACACGCGCGACCAATCGGATGTCCGCAAATAAATTAACATAAAATTAACGCCTCGACCAATCACATCGCGCCGTGGTCTGCTACTGTCTGAGCTCTGGATGCGAACTGTAAGCGGCGAGTCCAGAGTCGTGAGTTCGTAGTTGTTGAGTCCAGAGTCGTGAGTTCGTAGTTGTTGAGTCCAGAGTCGTGAGTCCAGAGTCGTGAGTTCGTAGTTGTTGAGTCCAGAGTCGCTAGACGAGGTTGACGAGCGGACTTCTCTCACGACAAAGCGAGGAGCAGCAGCAGCAGCAACAAGCAGCGACATCGTTATGTCGGCGGCCATGGAGAGTATCCTGCCTCTGCTGCGGAAGTAGCGGCGCCCAGGCCTCAACAACAACACCCACAACAACTACCACCACTACAACAACAACTACCACCACTACACTACAACAACTACCACCACTACAACAACTACCACCACTACAACTACCACCACTACACTACAACAACCACCACTACAACAACAACTACCACCACTACAACAACAACACCCACAACAACTACCACTACACTACAACAACTACCACCACTACAACAAACAACACTACAACAACAACTACCACCACTACAACAACCAACACTACAAAAACAACTACCACCACTACAACAACCAACACTACAACAACCAACACTACAACAACAACTACCACTACTACAACCACTACCACAACCACATCAACAACCACTACTACTACAACCACTACTACTACAACAACTACCACCACTACAACTACCACTACAACAACCAACACTACAACAACAACTACCACCACTACAACAACCAACACTACAACAACTACCACCACTACAACAACTACCACCACTACAACAACTACCACTACTACAACAACTACCACTACTACAACAACTACCACTACTACAACTACCACTACAACAACTACCACTACAACAACCACTACTACAACAACTACCACTACAACCACTACTACTACAACCACTTACTACTACAACAACTACCACCACTACAACTACCACTACAACAACAACTACCACCACTACAACAACTACCACCACTACAACAACTACCACCACCACTACAACAACTACCACCACTACTACAACAGCTACCACCACTACAACAACTACCACCACTACAACAACTACCACCACTACAACAAATACCACCACTACAACAACTACCACCACTACAACAACTACCACCACTATAACAACTACCACCACTACTACAACAACTACCACCACTACAACAACTACCACCACTACAACAACTACCACCACTACAACAACTACCACCACTACAACAACTACCACCACTACTACAACTACCACCACTACAACAACTACAACAACTACCACTACAACAACCAACACTACAACAACAACTACCACCACTACAACAACTACCACCACTACAACAACTACCACCACTACAACAACTACCACCACTACTACAACTACCACCACTACAACAACTACCACCACTACAACAACTACCACTACTACAACAACTACCACTGCTACCACTACTACACTACTACACTGCTACAACAACTACCACTACTACAACAACTACCACCACTACAACAACTACCACCACTACAACAACCACCACTATAACTACCACCACTACAACAACCACCACTACAACTACCACCACTACAACAACTACCATTACTACAACAACTACCACTACTACAACAACTACCACCACTACAACAACTACCACCACTACAACAACTTTCGAGGGTCACAATGGCCAGCGCGATGGGTGGTGGTGATGATGCTGGTGGTGATGATGATGGTGGGTGGTGGTGATGATGATTATGGTGGTGGTGATGGTGATGATGGTGGTGGTGATGGTGGTGGTGGTGATGATGGTGGGTGGTGGTGGTGATGATGATGATGGTGGTGGTGATGATGGTGGTGGTGATGGTGGTGGTGATGATGGTGGTGGTGATGATGGTGGGTGGTGGTGGTGATGATGATGATGGTGGTGGTGATGATGGTGGGTAGTGGTGGTGATGATGATGATGGTGATGATGTCAGTCGGTGGAGCGGTAGTGTAGAGGTTGTCAGCGCGCTGCGTTACAAACCTGGCAACCCGAGTTCGATTTCCGATAACGAACACCAGACACGACGATTATCTGAATGGGTCCTGGACCTCCCCTAGGTTGACTCAGCCTCAAATGAGTACTTGGTGCGGTGTATAAATATCGCCACTAGGGAGACAAAGGCGGCCGGGCGTGGTGGTGGCCACCCACGTCCTTGTGTGCCGTGCCGGCCTTAATAGGTGCTCGCTAACAGCACTTCCTCCAACAGCCTGTTCAGGTTATACGGGGAACTTTTGTCTTTAGTGGTGTCGGTGACGGTGTCGATGATGGTGTTGATGCTGTGAGGTGCAGTGGTTAGCGTGCTGCACTACGAACCCGGCGACCGGTGCTGGGCCTCCCGTAGGTTGACTCGGCCTTAAATTAATACCTGGTTCGATGTTTAAACCTGGCCACGCGGGAGACAAAGGCGGTCTGGCGTGGTCCTATCCACACCACCCCCTCATGTTCCGTGCCGGCCTTCATAGGTGCTCGCTAACCAGCCCCAGCCATTTGTTAAGGCTCCACGGGGGATCTTTGGTGATGTGAGTGAAGTATTTTGAATGCTTACTGTGGAGAAGCTGCCATTCCTCTGTTGGGAGCTTAGTTTATTGTTTTTACCCTGTGAGCCAAGATGCTCTTAAATCGGGTTTCATCAACAAAAAACTTCACCGCCTGGAATACAGGAGGTCCCGTGGACTGGTTCTGGCTCCAGTCACTGAGTGGTCAACACCAGTCCTCCTCAGGGTAGGGAATCGCCAAACAACAGGGAGTGGCTCTGCTTCTGAACAAAAGAATGAAGGGAGTGTGGGAGCATGGGTGTGAGGTGGGAAGCTGTACATCTCGGGCTGCTGTGGGCTCGTGTTCCCATCAACAAAAGGTAGGGAGGGTGCCATGGTGGCGAGATGTTAACTACCTCGCTTCGTATACAGAAGGTCATGGGTTCGATCCCGACTCTGACACCTGTTTATTTTAAGTTTGCGTGTCTCTCCCCGTGGTGGTTTTTTTCTCCACATTTAGAAACATGCGTTTTAGAGTATTTGGCTGATGCTATGCATTGCCACAAGATTGGCCACTTCATTGAGCTGTCAATTGTGGTCATATCGCTTCTGAAAAAGAGCAAATAGCTTAAGTGGGCCTTACCTGGTAAAATAAAAAATTGTTAAGTTTAAAATAGTTCTAAAGTGACTTAACAGCGGATGCAGGTCCATGTCCTTAACACCAGGACTTACCGTGGGAACTGATCTGCCCAATTACCATCAGATTGTCATCTGTGCCTGCCTTTCTTCCACTGTGGTGGTGGGCGTCCACCTAGGACCCCATTCAAACCCACAGTGGGCTGGTTTCAGCTCGCTGGTGAAGGTTGTCAATGATATTTGTTTTCATTTACTTGCAGATGCTACCCCCTCAACTCAATATTGGTGAAGGAGCAGTTGTGGAGAGCTTTCCATACCTGAGCAGTGTGCTTATGACCAACTCCAGTTTCACAGCAGAGGTCTCACTCAGAAAATGAAGCAAGTTTGCACAGTAGGGGGCACGGGTGATGCATCTGTCGGTCATCTTAGTCAACCCATGGCACCTGGGTCTGTCCCGTCATCTCCTGTCAGTGAGCCTTCAACACTTCACGTGGCCTCAAAGTGCTCCTTGTCTGGCAACAAGCGCCGTGATGACGTCGCCGCCACTTAGTGGCGAATGGTGGCTGTTGTGGTTGTGCTGGTGTGAGCTCCATGACTGTGATGGATGGGAGTTGTGATGATGGTCGTGGTCGCTGTGGTCGTTGTGGTGGCTCTGGTGGTTGTTGCGGCTGTGGTGGTGATGGTTGTGGTGGTGGCTGTTGTGTTGACTGTGGTGGTGGTGGTTGTGGTTAGAGCGATGGTCTTGCTGATGACCGTTGACCCCTTGACCGTGACCTCAGAGCACCTTTTCAATCTGAAGTTCGCGGCGAAGGAGCTGACCCGGAGCTCCAAGAAGTGCGACAAGGAGGAGAAGACTGAAAAGGCTAAAGTGAAAAGGGTGAGGGAGTGTGCACCTAGCCTGGCATGGGATGTGGGGGGGCGGAGAGGGAGACCATGCCCCTAGCCTGGCACAAGGGCGTGTCTGTGAGTGATTTGGCGAGCAGCGTGCTGCACTACGAACCCCAAAAATTAGTACCTGGTGTAGCGGTGTGTAGAGATAATATCACCAGCAGGGAAACAAATGGGGCCAAACGTGGTGCTGGCCACCCACACCGCCGTGTACTGTTCTGGCCTTCATAGGCGCTATTCTGTCATAGCACTTGCCCCAAAAGTCTGTCAAGGCTATACGGGGAGATCTTTGCGTTGTGCACCTAGGCTGTGAGTATGTGAGCTTTCTCTTAGCCTGGCAGACACATGCGTGTCTGTGAGTGAGTGAGTGAGTGGGAGTGAGTGTGCACCTTGATGTCCTACTGGACATCTGTGAAAAAGAGCTTTATAGGTCATCGGATTCCTCTCGGATAAACAAACTTTCTGAAAGATTCAGATTCTGACCTAGCATGGCACACACGCATGTCTGTGAATGAGCGTCACCTAGACTGTCACACATGTATGCATATCTGTGTGCGAGTGTGAACATGTTACCTATCCTGGTGCACACATGAGTATATGTGAGTATCTGAATGAGTGTGCACCTAGCCTGGCGCGTGCGTGTTGTGTAGGCGATCGCGAAGGGCAACATGGAGGTGGCGCGGATCCACGCGGAGAATGCGATCCGACAGAAGAACCAATCGCTCAACTACTTGCGCATGAGCGCTCGTGTGGATGCCGTGTCGGCCCGCGTGCAGACAGCCGTCACCATGGGCAAGGTGCCAAACCCATGGACACTGCGCATGCACGCTACGTGCACGTAGAGACACATGTTCACTTACAGACACGCACTCGCGTACATACATGCACACTCACACAAAGACGCATGGAGGCACACAAAGACACATGTACAGACGCAACAACAATCGCCATTCGCCACTAAGTGGCGGTGTCGTCACCACTGCGATTGTGCCAGGCTATGTGCATGTTAAGGCCACGTGAAGTGTCGAATGCCTGCTGGCAGGAGGTCAAGGGACAGACCCAGGTGCCATGGATTAACTGACTGAGATCACTGGCAGATGCACCAGCTGCACTCAACTCCAGCCCGTGCCGTGCCCGTTTAGCCTCCTCTATCCAGCCAAACAAGCTGCTTGGGCATGCAGCAGCTGGGCATGCAGCCTACATGACCCAGCCAACACAGCCTCATCTGCAAGAGGAGCTCAATAATGGGACTGTGTCCATATCTTTCAAAGAATTGCGGGCTCCTCACACCATCGAGCCTGGTTAATACAAGGATGAATTGTTGGCGAGCCAACCTGAATGTTTCAAACCAGCAGAGAGGTTTGTTGAAAGGGGTCCACGTTTTGCAAGCATAGACAAAGGAGAGGGTATAACTGTGGCCGAGAAGACCCGGAGCTTCGTATGGAGCGACAGACCAGGTAGCTTCGACACAGCAGCGTTACGCAGCCGATGAAAAGATAATGCCGCTCGTCTGATTTGGAGTGAGACCTGCACTGCCACACCGCAATTGGTCATAAGCACACTGCCCAGCTGCAGGAACTTCTCCACTCTCCCCAAAACTGCCCCCACCACTCATGGGGAGTGGAGGGTGTGGAGTGTTTGACATAACATACCCAGGCAAGTGCTTTGTTTTGGTCAGGTTCGATGGTAAGGCCCTAACCTCTTAGTGACACTCCAGATTCGTCTGTAGAATCTCCAACTCCTCAGAATTAGCAGCAATTACCAATTCATCAGCATACATAAAATGAGTCGACCTCGGTGAGCGGGGAATTAAACTCGGGTCGTTGGGTTTGTGGCACAGTGCAATAACCACTGCACTACTTCTCCCCACACAACAAAGCAAACAATAGCCGGCACTCGCCACTAAGTGGCGGTGACATCACCATGGCTTTTGTGCCAGGCCAGGTGCATTCCGGGCCAGGTGCTCCACATATATTGATAAAGATCCTCCATTAACAAATTTTTGGGGCAAGCACTCGTGAAGGCCTGCACTGTGACACACGAGGGGGTTGGTGGCTAGCACCACACCCGGCGGCCTTTGTCTCCCAAGTGGCGATGTTTACTACACACTGCACCAGGTACTCCTTTGAGGATTTGACCTCGGAGAGGGCCAGGACCGGTTCAGATAATTGCTGTTACTGCTGTTGATCGTGAACGGGAATCGAACCCGGCTCGTCAAGTTCGTAGCGCAGCGTGCCACCCGCTACGCCACTACTCCCCACATTCAGACAATCACTCATGGCTCTGTGTCTCTCTCTGTGTATCTCTCTACCTCTCTCAGGTCACGAAGTCTATGGCTGGGGTAGTAAAGAGCATGGACGCTGCTCTGAAGAGCATGAACCTAGAGAAGGTGAGACTGCCTCCCCATGTCTCTGACTGCCTAACCATGTCTCTCACCATGTCTCTCACCGTGTCTCTCACCGTGTCTCTCACCGTGTCTCTCACCGTGTCTCTCACCGCGTCTCTCACCGCGTCTCTCACCGCGTCTCTCACCGCGTCTCTCACCGCGTCTCTCACCGCGTCTCTCACCGCGTCTCTCACCGCGTCCATCACCGTGTCTCTCCCTGTGTCTTTCCCTGTGTCTCTCACCGTGTCTCTCACCGTGTCTCTCACCGTGTCTCTCACCGTGTCTCTCACCGTGTCTCTCCCCGTGTCTCTCACCGTGTCTCTCACCGTGTCTCTCACCGTGTCTCTCACCGTGTCTCTCACCGTGTCTCTCACCGTGTCTCTCACCGTGTCTCTCACCGTGTCTCTCACCGTGTCTCTCACCGTGTCTCTCAACCGTCTCTTATCACGTCTCTCTCACCATGTCTCTTCCTGTGTCTCTCCCTGTTCCACACCGTGTCTCTCACTGTGCCTAACCATGTCTCCCCGTGTCTCTTACCGTATCTCTTACCATATCTCTTACCATATCTCTCCCCGTGTCTCTCACTGTGCCTCACCGTGTCTCACTGTGTCTCTCACCGTGTTTCTCACCGACTCTCTCACCGTGTCTCTCACCGTGTCTCTCCCTGTGTCTCTCCCTGTTCCACACCGTGTCTCTCACTGTGCCTAACCATGTCTCCCCGTATCTCTTACCATATCTCTCCCCGTGTCTCTCACTGTGCCTCACCGTGTCTCACTGTGTCTCTCACCGTGTTTCTCACCGACTCTCTCACCGTGTCTCTCACCGTGTCTCTCCCTGTTCCACACCGTGTCTCTCACTGTGCCTAACCATGTCTCCCCGTATCTCTTACCATATCTCTCCCCGTGTCTCTCACTGTGCCTCACCGTGTCTCACTGTGTCTCTCACCGTGTTTCTCACCGACTCTCTCACCGTGTCTCTCACCGTGTCTCTCCCTGTTCCACACCGTGTCTCTCACTGTGCCTAACCATGTCTCCCCGTATCTCTTACCATATCTCTCCCCGTGTCTCTCACTGTGCCTCACCGTGTCGCACTGTGTCTCTCACCGTGTCTCTCACCGTGTCTCTCACCGTGTCTCTCACCGTGTCTCTCACCGTGTCTATCACATTCACGATTGAGGGTCTCTCAAGTCAACAAGCATGATGGACAGTGTCAAAGACTTTGCTGAAGTCCAGGCAGATGACACAAACCTACTTGTTTGTGGCGACGAGGGCAGCAGTGGTGGAGCCTGAAGGGTGGAAAACAAATTTATCAGAGAAAGTCCAGGAGGGTGGCGGGTTGCGCAGACTGGGATAGATGAATGTCCTTACAGCAATCATTTCAAGCATCCTAGATAACTAGATCAAACAAGTGATGGATATTGGTCTGAAGTCAGAAAGGCTGGAAGGGGTGGACATCTTCGTTATAGGATTGATGGATTGATGGAGGCTCGCTTCAACTAGCCAGGAATAGTCGAGGAGGAGAGAGACCAATGAAATAGCTGCGCAATGGGCCGGCAAAATATCGAGGGACCAAAACAGAGAAACTGGGCTGGGGGGTTGTCGGGGCCAGTGGCTGTGTGGCAAAGCTTGTCCAGAATGGTGAATATCTCCTGCTCAGAGATGTGGTGGTTTGGGTTGGCAGCTGAAGCTGGGGACTTCCTACTGGTGAGAGTGTATGGGTGATCATGGGAAATAGTGGCATAATGGGCATTAATGGTGTGCGCAGTGATGGATGCGGTTACTTCACGTGAGTACTCATGGCGAGAGAGGCGCCGAACATTAGCCCACATCCCCTTCGCATCCAGTCCAGGATCTGCCGTGACAAGTTGCAGTGGTATTGCGACTGGTAATGTTTCTGCCGATGCGAGTTGCAAGTGCAATGGCTTCCTCAAGTGGGCCTACTCGCATCAATTTATTCTTGAGTCGCAGGTCAGCTTTCATTTCAGGTGGAACAAAAGATGGATCACGTGCGGTGAGGGTTGAAGAGCCTTCTGGGCGGAATTCATTGAGGGTAGCGAGTGCGGCGGTGTAAAAATGGTCGAAGGCTGCTTGAGTGTCGGATTCGGATGACAGGAGGAGCTGCGTTTCAAGTTTATCAGCGTTGGCAAGAAACCTGCCATGTTGAGTGGGGCCCCTTTTCCGGAAGGTGTAGGGAAATCTGGTTTTGTTGGCTGGCATTTGCGTGGGGCCAGAATGCGCGATTACTGTCAGATGGTCAGTTTTGATTACAGGCTTCACGACCTTCACGTGGCCATGATGTTTCCTGGAAACAAAGATGTAGTCGAGGATGTTTGGGCCTCTAGAAGGCTGGGTAACAATGGGTCACAAACCAGTGCACTCGGAGTTGTCTAGGGGTGAAACAAATTTCAAATCGACAGCCAGAACAATAAATGCTCGAGGATGAAGTTTACCGATGTCTGTCATGGACTTCTCGGCCACCTTGGGGGTTTAGGGTCGCTGTGTCTCCCCATACCTCCCCATTTCTCTCATTGTCTCCCCGTATGTCCTCCCTGAATCTCACTGTGTCAACTCACTATGTCTCCTCCCCGTGTCCCAGATCTCGGCACTCATGGATAAGTTTGAATCTCAGTTTGAGACCCTGGACGTTCAAACTGCACAGATGGAGGACACGATGAGCAGCTCTACCACACTCACCACTCCACAGGTACTTGCCACTCGCTCACCGCTCACCCACCAATCACTCATCACTGTCTTCGCACTCACCACATACTCACTAACCACTCACTCACCACTCACTCACTGCTCACTTACCAAATATCACTCGCCACGAATCACTCACCACTCACACACTCATCACTCTAGGACTGGTTTCGACATTCAGTGACTCATCAGCAGGGCCAGTCTGTGCCTGAGCCAGGCCAGAGCTGCACCTCTGATAGATGCGGCTCCTGGTTCAACCCTGAACTCTGCTGAGTCAAGTGGTTTCTTGTAATGGGACGACTGAAGGTGTTCGTGATGCTGTCGTGGTGCTGTAGTGGGATACTGTAGTGATGTTATAGTGATGCTGTAGTGATGTTATAGTGATGCTGTAGTTATGTTATAGTGATGCTGTAGTGATGTTATAGTGATGCTGTGTAATGTTGTGTGTGATGCTGTGTGTGATGCTTTATGTAATGCTGTAGGGATGCAGTGTGCTATGCTTTAGTGATGCTGGAGTGATGCCCTCGGGATGCTGTGTGTTATGCTGTAGTCAGGTGCATGATGATCGTGATGTAGCTGCTTTTACTAATGGTGATGTTTTGTCATTTCACAGCATGAAGTTGAAGGGCTTATGCACCAAATGGCGGACGAGGCTGGGTAACGCCATCAACACCATCATCACTAAAATTACCATCATCACCATCACTACTACCATCACCAATATTTCCACTATCGCCATCAATCTCACCATCATCACCATATTTACCACCATCATTACCATCATCATCATCATTACCACCACGATCACCGTCATCATTACCACTATCGTCATCACCAGCACCATCATCAACACCATCACCAGCACCATCATAACCACCATCTTCATCATCTCACCACCATCATCAGCAACAACAGCCGCCATTCACCACCAAGTGGCAGTGACATCACTACGGCACTTGTGCCAGACTAGGTGTGACAGTGGGTGAGCAGGGAATGGCTCTGACTCCGGGACTTCGGGCCACGTAGCTTTACCCGGGCCTGCCCATCATCCTGAAGGTTCTTAATGATCGTGAGCAGAGAGTCAGGGATCCCGAAAGCACAGAGCCCTGGCCTATTGATAGTATCATAGGCCTTGACCAGGTTAATAAAGCAAAGATGTAGGACCTACTGAAATTCCCTACACCTCTGCTGTAGCAGACGGAGATGGAAAATGGCGTCTGTGCAGGATTGCCCTGACCTGAAGCCACATTGAGGCTCTGCAAGCCTCTCCTCAGTGTGCCTGGAAAGGCGATGTTGAATAAAATATAATCCTGGCCGGGACCTTTCCCAGCACACTGAGGAGGTAGCTGCCCTGGTAGTTATTGCAATCAGTGCGGTTACCTTTTTTTTAAAATAGAGAACACCTGGGCATCCTTCCAATTATGTGGAACCCGTCCATTGGTCCAGACTGTTGTAATGATGTCATATAGGGCAGTCTGCACACAAAAGCCATCCTCCGCAGTTTGAAGCCATCTTTTCCCAGTACTTTACCAAGTCTTAGACTCTGGATATCCTTTCATACTTCCTCAACAGTTTGCACATGAAACAACTAATCGCAGGAAGCGGCTACTTTTAGGTTTTGAGGCACAGCAGCCCCAGCAGGGTCATCCCTGCTTGCCCCCATGATTTGATCTGAACTGAGGGGTTCCCTTCTCCCAAGACTTCACAGAAATCCTCAGAAAACCAGCAAACTTACCCCTAGGGGTTGGAGATCGGATCACCATTATTTCCCCTAAGATAAGTGTGGCACTGCGAGTTACTTTTTTGATGGAATCAGAGTGATATGTGATCACGAGCTACTGAGGCAGATTCCATCTCCTCTGCAACCCGCAACCCCCACTCATCCTTGCAGCATCGCATGGCTCTCCGAACCTCGGAGTGGAGGCTACGATAAACCTTATTGCAGCTGCTTGAGCCAGTCCTGAACCTCGCCCATATCCCTTCGGCATCGGGAGGAGTGGAGGACAATGCCAATCTCAGCTGCAAACGCTATTGAGTGTTTGATTGGGGTCCTATGTGAACACCCACTACTGCAGTAGAAGAATGGCAGGCACTTCTTCATACAAATGACAAGTCGATGGTCAATAGGCAGATATCTCCTCGCTGTGGAGGAGAGGCTGCCACTCCTCTGTCGGGAGCTGGACCGGTACCACCTGGACCTCTGGATTAAAAGAGGTCCGGTGGACCGGCTCTGCCTCCAGTTACTGTGAGGGGTGGACAGTCCTCCAATCGGGACAGAAAACTGACAAACAATCGGTTGTGGCTCTGCTTCTGAATAAAATAATTAATGGGAGGCGTGGAAGCGTGGAGGTGAGGTGTGGGAAGCTGTGAGTGCCAGGCGACTGAGCTCTCCTCGCCATCAGCAGGAGGTGAGGAATGATGGTGGTGGTGGTTGTCTTTGCTTACGACCCCACTGAAGATGAACATCAGTGGATGGATGCAGGCAAAGCTGATGAGTCGGATGCTTTCTATGATCTGTTGGGATAGAGGCATCCTCTTGGGTAACTTTAGTGCCGGTTTGGGTTTTGATGCAGACACCTGGGCTAGAGTGATTGAGAGGCATGGGCCAGATCGGCTCAATAACAATGGTTAGCAGGAGGCTGCAAGACTTCTGTGTAGCCCATGAGCTTGTAATCATCATCATCTTTACCATCACCATGATCACCACCACTATCACGAACCCCATCACCACCACTCCAATCACCACCGCTGCCACCAGCCATGGCAATGCAGCTGCGGCTCCGTGACTCGGTGTCAACTGTCGTTTCAGGTTGGATCTCAACATGGAGCTGCCTCAGGGTCAGGCCGGGTCCATTGGGTCAAGTGTGGCTTCCACAGAGCAGGTGAGAGTTACTAACCCACTGACCCACCCACCCACCCACTCAACCACTCGCCCACTCACCAACTCACCCACCCATGCACTAACTCACCATTCACTCACCCTCATACTCGCTCACCTACCCACTCGCTCACATGCTCACTCTCACCGATCCATTCACCCAGCCACTCATCCACCCACTCTCCCACCTACTCACCCACGTGTTAACTTGCAAACTGACCCACTCGCTCACTCACCCACCCACTCACTCAACCACCCACTCGCTTATCCATTCACGAACTCGCCCACTCACCCAACTACTCCATCACCTACTCACCCAAAGACTTACTCATCCACTCACCAACCCACTCACTAACGCACTCACTCACCCACTCATGCACTCACCCACTCATCCCCCGACTCACCCACTCACCCCCCTGACTCACTCACCAACTCATTCACCAACTCATTCACCCACTCCCTCACTAACTTATCCACTCACCCACCTACTCACCCAGTCACTTATGCGCTTAAACACTCTCTCACCCACTCACCAGCTTACTCAGGCACCCACCCACTCATGCACTCACCCACTCATTCACCCACCCACTCACCCATTTAGCCACTCACCCATTTAGCCACTCACCCACTCTCTTACCCACCCACTCACCAACTCAGTCGCATGCCCACCCACTCACTAACTTACCCATTCACGCACTCACTTATGCACTTAACCCCCCACTCTCAACCTCTCATTCAGCTACTCACCAACTCACCCGCCCACTCAACCACCTACTCACCCATTCACCCACTCTCTCAGACACTCATCCACTCAGTCACCAAGCCACTTACTCACCAACCTTCACAACCATTCACCCAATGTCACTCACTCTCTCACTCACCCATCCACTCACCCACTGTCTCTCGCTCACTAACCATATTTTTTCATTTCTGTGTCTTCAGGATGAATTGTCTCAACGTTTGGCAAAACTGCGAGACCAAGTCTGAGACACGGGGAACACACACACGGGGAACACACATACACAGGGACACACATACACAGGGACACACATACACAGGGACACACATACACAGGGACACATATGCGGAGATGGAGACATGGAGACACAGAGACATGAGAGCAAGAAAACACGAGGACTGGGAGACGGTAGACAGGGACCCAAAGCTATGGGGGCATCTATTTTATTTTTAGTTTAGAGTTATTGATTTAAAAAAAAAACTCAATATAATCTGCATGTGAATACAGAGACATGCACACACCATGTCTGTATCTGTGCATCACTTTTCTCACCGTATCTCTGTCCGTCGCTCTTGCTGTCTCTGTATCTTTGTGTGTCTCTGTGGTAGTAGTAGATGGTATTGCTGCTGCTTGAAGCGGTTGTATTTATGAGTGGGGCTTCTCTTGTACAAAAAAAATGTATGATGATGATGAAGATTATTAAAGGTCTCATCAGACTAACAGAACACCACTGGCTTGTGTCTGTGTGTGCAAGTCTGTGTGTGGTGTGTGGATATATATATATATTTACATGGTTGAGCCAGGAGACTAATTCCTTACCCTCGGGGTTTCTTCAGAAACATCAAAAAGCCACTACGGGTGGCCATGTGGAATGTTTGAATGCTCACTGCGGAGGAGAGGCTGTCACTCCTCTGTCAGGAGCTGGACTGGTACCACCTGGATCTCTGCGGTATTCAGGAGATCTGGTGGACTGGCTCTGGCTCCAGCCAGAGGTGGGCAGTCCTCTACTCGGGGCAATAAACTGCCAAACAACAGCGAGTGGTTCTTCTGACCCAAAGAATGAAGGGGGCGGCAGTGTGGCGGTGAGGTGTGGGAAGCTGGAAGCCCCAGGTTACTGTGGGCTCGCCTTCCCATCAACCAGTGTCAAGGGGTGGTAGTGGTTGTTACTTATGCCCCCACCGAAGATGAACATCAGTGGAAGGATCCAGGCAAGGCCGATGAGTCAGAAAGTGGGTGGGGCTAGAAAGGCATTGGTTTTCTGCTCCTAGCCCCGCCCTCTTCCCCCTCCCATCCAGAAGCATTCCACGCAACGCCCCCCCTTCCCTTGCTCCTCCCCCCTCTAACTTATATAACCCCTTACCACAGCGTCTCTCCCACTTCAGCTAAAATTGTCTTGCTGTAGTTTTCACACCTGATGTTGATTGCTTGTGTTGCAATCGAAACGTGAGAATTTTTCATTTTTATTATTTTATTATTTCCCTTCTACGTGACTTTACCGAAAGAACCAAGAATATGAATCCCTGCAGTCACGAAAGCTTTAAATCGAAATCTATCAGGTGTGCGCTAAAGTGGCCCCTCGGGATAGAATCATGCTGTTGGGTGACTTTAATGCCCGCGTGGGGTCATGATGCTGGCACCTAGGCTGGTGTTATGGAAGGCATGGGCCAGATCAGCTCAATAACAATGGTAGGAGGCTGCTAGACTTCTGTGCAGCCCATGGGCCTGTAATTACCAACACGCTGTTCTGGCATCGGTGCATCCACACAACATCATGGATGCATACCAGGTCCAAGCAAGAACATTTGCTGGACTAGTGACACAACAGCGGATGTGGGTCCTTGACACCAGGACCTAACGTGGAGCTGATCTGCCCACTGACCACAAGCTTGTCATCTGTAAAATGCGCCTGCCATTCTTCCATTCCGGTGGTGGGTGTACATCCAGGACCTCATTGAAACAGTGGTCTGATCTCAGCTCGCTGTGGAAGGTTGCAAGCGATAATTTTATTATTGTGGCCAGGTCGATTCTGAAAAAGAAGCTAACCCAGTTCCCTGTGATAAAGAGGTTTATAGCTCATCGGATTCCTCCAGTATAAATATTCAGATTTTGAGATTATTTAGCTGCTACTATAAATTTACATACGATAAAGCCACGTCGTTGAGCGATCATTTGTGGCCTCGTCACTTATGAAAAATAGCTAATTGCTCAGTGGGCCTTACCTGGTCAAATGAAGGAGTAAAGTTTTTAGTTTAGTCTGGATCTCTGTGTGGTCAGTCTGGTTCTCTGTGTGTTCAGTCTCGTTCTCTGGTGAGTCTGGGACCTCTGGGTCTCTGTGTAGTGAGTCTATTGGTGTGTGATGAGTCTGTGGGTCTCTCTGTAATGTGTATATAGGTCTATGTGGTGAGTCTATGGATCTCTTTGGTGAGTCTATTGATCTGTATAATGAATCTGGGTCTGTGTGGTGAGTCTATGGATCTCAGTGTCAATATATGGCTGTGTGGGAGTCTATGGGCCTCTGTGCAGTGAGTATATTAGTGTGTGATGAGTCTCTGTGTGATGCGTCTATAGGTCGACGTCCTGAGTTTATGAATCAGTGTTATTTTATTGCTGTGTGAGTCTATGGGTCTCTGTGTGATGAGTCTATGGGTATATGTGGTGAGTCTATGGGTCTGTGTGGTGAGTGTTTGGATCAGTTTGGTGAGTCTCTGGATCTCAGTGTCAGTGTATGGCTCTGTGTGAGTATATGGGTCCGTGTGTGGCGAGTCTATGGGTCTCTGTGCAGTGAGGTTATTCGTGTGTGTGATGAGTGTATGGGTCTCTGCGTGGTGAGTCCATGGATCTCTGTGGTGAGTCAGGATTGATGTGAGTATGAATGTCTGCGTGGTGAATTTAGATAAATTGGCTGGTGCTATAAATTCTAAAACATCGGCCACTCCGTTGAGCTCTTTCTGGTCAGGTCGCTTCTGAAACAGCTTCATAGGCTCAGTGGGAATTCGGGGCCGTCCATAAATGACATCACGTGATTTTGGACCATTTTTGACCCCCCCCCCCCCCCCCCCCATTCGTCACACGGCGTCACAAAAAGTCAGACCCCCCCCTCAAATATGACGTCACAAAGCTCTGCACCCCCCCCCCCCCCACAAAAAAAAACATGCTTCAAATCGCTTTAAACTATTGTCATTGTAGTGCATATTTAATGCGGCGCTGCACTCTGATGTTGTAGGAGAAAACATTAAAAAGTCTATTTAATTAGGTAGAACGTGTTGTCTATTTATTTAAAGTTGCGCATTTTTATGTGACGTCACATTTCTCACCCCCCCCCCTCGTCACACATCGTCACAAATGTCTGCCCCCCCCCCCAAATAGGTGCGTGACGTCATTATTGGACGGCCGCTTATCTCGTAAAATAAGAGTTTAACAAGTTTTGCAGTGCTGTGGGACCTCACTCAATGCAACGTAAATCCATTTGGATGCTGCCACTGGTGTCGCGGTTTAATGCTGCAATGTACCTGAGTCGGTGGGTTTATTTCAGAAACTGTTTTTCTTGCAATCTTGAAATCTGCAATTGTAACGTTGCAAAATCGGTGCAAGATTCTTAGAGTTGTGGCGCCGAGGCTGTGCATGCCGAAGTCAGGTTTCATGCATTAAATACACACGGCAGACGCGGTACCAGATGGCCTCTCCCCCAGGGAGTTTTCATCCCTAAAACTAAAATGTTTTATTTTACCAGGTAAAGCCCACTTAGCTATATGCTACTTTTCAGACGCGATCTGACAAGTGATATCTCAACCGAAGTGGCTTATCATGTGGAAATGTATACTAGTAGCCAAATAAATTTGGTTCTTTCGGTAAAGTCACGTAGAATTATTTTATACCTACGTGACTTTAATGAAAGAACCAGTCACGAAAGCTTCAAATCTAAACGCACTTTGATTCTAAATGTGGAGGTAAAAAATGGAGGACTCCCAGACAAACCCACGTGACCAAAACGGAGAGGGAGACGCAGAAACTCCAAAAATGTAGCAGCAGTCATCGTGTCGGGATGAATCCCACGACCTCCTGCATGCCAGGTAAGAGATAACATCTCGCCAAAGGGAGGGGGGTGGGGATGCAATACATCCGAGATGGTGGGGTAATCACGCATCAATCCCAATAACGGAGTGCTGAGCCATGACTCAACCACAGACCCCTGAGAGTCGAACCATTGTGAAGGTTTATTTAGTAACGCGATTGGCCTGTGGAATTCTGGGACAATGGTGGAAGGATTCATGATTGCAGGTCTGTTTGCTCCGGGGAATGCCACCAGCTGAGTATCAATGAGACACCGAGTCCACGGTACATTTACATATTAATAAAAATATACTTTTCAGGGATGGAAGTTTGCAAACGAAAGGGAGTTAAATTTCGATGGCGGTTACGCCTAAACACTACTCATCCCAGCTGGCAGCTTTGCTTCGTGGAGCTCACCAATGGGACTGTGTCCAGTTATTAAGGGTAACTGCCTCCGACTGCCCAGGAGCGTCCTTCACGAGCCTCCTCCTCCAGAGGCCATTCTTGACACTGCTTGTACCGGCTCGTGCAATGCCCGTTTAACCCCCTATTATGCCAAACAAAAGCTGCTTTGGGCATGCGGGCTTCATGATCCAGCCAACGCAACCTCACCTGTCAAGCAGAAAACGAGTTCCTCACAAAACCCAGCCTGGTTAAGCCCAGGATAGTAGGCAGACCAGCCTGAATATTTATAACCGGTGCAGATGTTGCATTCGTGATTCAAGTTTTTTGGAAGCATGGAGGGAATGACTGCTGTAGCCGAGAAGATCCGGAGCTTCGTGTAGAGCGACAGGCCAGGTAGCTTTCATAAAGCATTAAGCAGCTGATGAAAATATACTGAATCAGACGGGCAGTGACACCTCTGCTGTCAAACTAGTACTGGTCATAAGTACATTGCCCAGGTATAGAAAACTCTCCACTGTCTCCACAACTGCCCCATCACCAATGGGGAGATGAGGGGTGGAGTGTTTCATTACATAAAATACTCAGGCAGGTGCTTCGTTTTGGTGGGGCTGATGGTAAGGACCCCCTCTCTTAGTGGCACGCTCCAGGGTTCATTAGCGGAAACGTCCAACCCATCCTGAGTGAGCAAATCAAACCGTCAGCATAGACACTCTCACTTGATCAAAGCATTCATAGGAGATTCACTCAAGAACTCAAACTTGTTTATTTTCAACAAAACAAATCAACCCCCTGGTGATGGTAACTCCATGATGTTCACTCTGTGGAGGGGTGTTTTTGAGGGATGTCCTCCCCCCCCACTTCAGCGTTTGCCCCCAACTCTGGGAGCTGCCGACTTCATCGTCTTGGCGATTTTCTGCTTGGGGGCAGCCTTAACTGCAGCCTGTTGGCAGAAAGAGGGAGGGGGAGAGAGGGTTGGCTCCACGAATATCTCGGAGTGTGAGTGCGTGAGAATATGAGTGAGCAAGTACATGAGAGAGTGTGTGTGAGAGTGTGTGTGAGAGTGTGTGTGAGAGTGTGTGAGAGTGTGTGAGAGTGTGTGTGAGTGTGTGTGAGAGTGTGTGAGAGTGTGTGAGAGTGTGTGTGAGAGTGTGTGTGAGAGTGTGTGTGAGAGTGTGTGTGAGAGTGTGTGAGAGCGAGTGTGTGAGTAAATGCGGCGGCTAAAACGCAGAAAGTTGGCACAGGTGGTGCATTTGACAGTCATCTCACAGTC